ATATATATATATATATATATATATGTATGCACACAAAGAGGTACAGTTTTAGTTTTTATATTCATGCATGTGAGATCATTAAAATCGTGATTTTTCTCTGCAGTGCGACGGAGTGCTTTTGTCCCCGCCGGGCCGCCGTAGAGATGGGAGACAACGTCTCCAAAAGGCTGAAGCTGCTGTCATCCGGTGATTCAGAGATGGAGGAGCGGTCCTTTCAGAACCCGTACCCGGACTGGAGTCAGGGTTCGGGCTCCGGAGCAGACGGAGACTTCAGCGAGGTTCTAGATGCAGAAGGAGCGGTGAGAGCTGCTGCTTTAGCTGCGTGTTGACTTTGTTTTTAGCTGCTAACACTAGCTACAGCTAGCAGTGTCTTTCTGTCCAAGTCTCTCTATGTCCATGACTTGTCTCCTGTCTTGGTAGAAGACCATGTATGAAGGTTTACTTTTATTAATATTATTAATATTATTATTGTAAATCAGTAGTTTGAACCTCAGCTCCAGATTTTAGTTGGCACATAAGCACCAGATATTAGACGAAGCCCGCAGACTAAAATCATTCGAGTGGATTTATCAACTGTTCGGCAGATAAAAGCCCATCAGATATTATATAAACATTGTACATTAATACTTGTCATTTATAATTCAACAGCTGAACATTATGACTTTGTAAATGACGCAGTAAAATAAATATTTTTAGGCAGAGGAGAAATTTGTAGGCATTAAATAAATATTCTGAATTTATACATTTTCTGGTTAATACCCGCATGAGTTGGACCTGAGGTTTGTAACATGATGGTCTATCAAACACTAAACTTAGTTTGTTAATAAATAAAAACATCCCAGGAGGACAGGAACCTGAACCCAAACAATCATCTTCTAATCATTTATCAGAAAGTCACAGTCAGAGACTAATGTCTGGTTTGTTGTCTGCAGTAGATTTCTCACGTCTAATCACAGAGAAGTCAAACCATCTTTAGATTATATTTATTTATTCCAGTCAAATCATTGTTCTGTTCCAGGTCGGCAGAGCTTTGATCATCTTTTCTACTTTGTCAAAGATTACCATATTTACTTTAAAGTCAACCTTTTTAAAATGACAGCTTCCATCCTCAGTAAAGATGATGTTCTTGTTGATTTTAAAATAAAATGTACTTGATTCACAGGCGTGCACTAGAAGCAGTTTTAGTGTGGAGTGTTCAGGAACATCCTATTTATTTTAATTCTGTAAAGATTTGAAACAAAGCATTTTAATTTAATGTTCATTCAGAAGTTTCTGTCAGAAAGCTGCGGTAATGACGCGTGGTCATGTGGGTCAGAACCAGGAGTCCACTGATGGATGTGTGAGAATCAGACAGATGTTCTGATGTAAGCTCAATCATTCAGAAGAATCCGTCCAGATGACCTGACAACTTTTTTCAAGCAGAAAGATGCTTTTAAATGGTTTTATTCTGCTCCACTAAAGAGTTGTGTGAATTATTCTGTTATTGGATAAAGAACAGAAAAACTAGATCTTCATCCTGTTGTCTGTTTTGTTGCTGAATATAAACTAGGGTTAGGGTAAATGAAAGTTTATGTTTGGTGCTGATGGACACTGGATTTGAAAAGTGTTGGTCTTCCTCCTCAGGTTTGCCCATCTTTCCAGAGGAAGGTCCAGAGTAAGATCAACGATCTCCTCCAGCAGATGGAGGAGGGCCTGAAGACCGCGGACCCCCATGACTTCTCCACCTATACCGGCTGGACGGGTCAGTTTCCAAGAACTGTACAAGTGTCCATCAGCTACGCCCCAGCAGTTCATATCGGGGCTTAAAGTGCTCCGACCGGGGGCAGGATTTCCAGCTTGAGAGCGAGACAGCCCGCCTTAACTTAAGTCTAGTTAATAGACAGAGTTTACATCCAATCACATTGAAGCTCGCGTTGTCTTGACCAATTACCAACAGGAAGGTGGGTCTTAGAAAAGCAAGCAGGTGTACGCATGCAGCTTCACGGTCAAATCAAATCCACTGTATATGGAGTTCCTCACACCGGGTCAAAACAGTTTTACTGGCGAGCGCAATTACAAACAGATGGCCTTCTCAATAACAGGCGGTAATTTTGCTGCCTACTCTGACCCTTTGGCGCAAATCGATATGCCGGCCCTTGATACTCACTTGACTGATTTCGCTGGCAGCTGCCAGTAAATTCCCTGGCAGGTGCCAGTAAACTAGCGGCAGGTGCCACAGCTGCCAGTAAATTTGCAGCAGGTAAAATAAAAAAAAAATATATATATATATATTAAATGTAGAGAAGCTGTGTCATCTGTCAATAAAAGAAAAACCATGTCATCTGTCAGCAAATCTCTGTCAGCTGCCTGTAAATCCATGACAGATACCAGTAAATAAAAATAATAAATAAATAAAACTAATAATAATTTAAAAAAAATTGTGGCAGGTAAAAAATAAATAAATAAATAAAATAAAAATATTAAATCTAGAGAAGCTGTGTCATCTGTCACTAAAAGAGAAACAATGCCATCTGTCACTAAATTCTCTGGCAGCTGCCAATAAACTAGCGGCAGGTGCCACAGCAGCATGACAGCTGCCAGTAAAGGTGTCAGTAAAAGTGTAGCAGCTGTCAGTAAAGGTGTAGTAAATCATAAACTAGTGGCAGGTGTCACAGCAGCAGCCACAGCATTGTGGTAGCTGCCAGTGAAGCTGGATGCAGCTTGACACCTGACACCAGAAGTGCCACTAAGACTGCTGCGATTTGAGCCTGCTGTCTCTCCTCCCGGACGACCGAGTTTCTCACCGTATCTCTAAGGGAGAACCCAGACACCCTGCGGAGAAAACTCATTTCAGCCGCCTGTATCAGAGATCTCGTTCTTTTGATCACAACCCAAAGCTCATGACCATAGATGAGGGTGGTAACATCGATCGACCAATTGAGAGCTTCACCATTTGACTCAGCTCTCTCTTCACCATGACAGACTGGTACAGTGCCCCTTCGCAGCAGATGCCACACCTATCCACCTATCGATCTCTCGCTACATTTTTCCGTCATTCGTGAACAAGATCCCAAGATACTTGAACTCCTCCACTTGGGGCAGGACCTCCTCCCCAACCTGGAGAGGGCACTCTACCCTTTACCGGCTCAAGACCATGGCCTCGGATTCGAAGGAACTGATCCTCATCTCGGCCGCATCACACTCTGCTGCAAACTGCTCCAGTGAAAGTTGTAGATTATGATCTGATGAAGCCAATAGGACCACATCATCTGCAAAAAGCAGAGACGCGACCCTAAGGTCACCAAAACGGATCCCTTCAACACCTTGGCTGTGCCTAGAAATTCTGTCCATAAAAGTTTTGAACAGAATCAGTGGCGAAGGGCAACCTTGGCGGAGTTCAACTCTCACCGGGAACGAGCTTGACTTACTGCTGGCAACGCAGACCAAGCTCTGACACCGGTCATACAGGGACCTAACAGCCTGTATCAAAGGGCCTGGTACCCCATACTCCCGGAGTACCCCCCACAGGGTTCCTCGAGGGATGCGGTCAAAGGCCTTCTTCAAGTCCGCAAAGCATATGTAGACTGGTTGGACAAATTCCCATGCACCCTCCAGTACTCTCCTGAGGGTAACTCCTGAATAGACCTTACCAGGGAGGCTTAAGAACATGATCCCCCTGTAGTTGGAACGCACTCTATGGTCCCCTTTTGAATAGGGGGACCACCACCCCAGTCTGCCAATCCAGGGGAACTGCCCCCGATGTCCACGCAATACTGCAAAGTTGTGTAAGCCAACACAACCACATAACATCCAGAGCCTTAAGGAACTCTGGGCGAATCTCATCCACCCCTGGGGCCCTGCCACCGAGGACCTTTTTAACCACCTCAGTGACCTCAGCACCAGAGATTGGAGAGCCTGACCCAAAGTCCCCAGGCTTCGCTTCCTCAGTGGAAGACGTGCCGGTGTGATTGAGGAGGCCTTCGAAGTACTCCGCCCACTGACCACAACATCCCGAGTTGAGGTCAGCAACACACCACCTCCAATATAAACAGTGTTGGTAGTGTACACCCCCCCCCCCCCCCCCCGAGATGCTGGATGGTGGACCAGAATCGTCTTGAAGCTGTACGGAAGTCATTCTCCATGGCCTCTCTGAACTCCCACACCCAAGTTTTTGCCTAAACGACCACCCAAGCCGCATGTCACTTGGACTGCCGATACCCATCAGCTGCTTCTGGGGCCCCACAGGCCAAAAAGGCCGGATAGGACGCCTTCTTCAGCCTGACGGCATCCCTCACCGACGGTGTCCACCACTGGGTTCGAGGATTGCCGTAGCGACAGGCACCGACAACCTTGCAGCCACAGCTCTGGTAAGCTGCCTCGACAATAGAGGCGCGGAACATGGCCCACTCGGACTCAATGTCCCCCACGTCCCCCGGAACGTGTTCGAAGTTCTCCCGGAGTTGGGAGCTAAAGCTTCGTCTCATGGGAGACTCTGCCAGAGGTTCCCAGCAGACCCTCACAATACGTTTGGGTCTGCCAGGTCTGACCGGCATCCTCCCCCACCATCGGAGCCAACTCACCACCAGGTAGTGGTCAGTGGACAGCTCCGCCCCTCTCTTAACCCGAGTGTCCAAGACATGCGGCCGCAGATCAGACGAGACAACAACAAAGTCAATCGTCGAACTGCGGCCTAGGGTGTCCTGGTCATTGCCCATGTGAGCGTTGAAGTCCCCCAGCAGAACGAGGGTGTCCCCAGGAAGGGCACTCTCCACTACCCCTTCCAAGGACTCCAAAAAGGGTGGGTAATCTGAACTGGGGTTTGGCGCATAAGCACAAACAACAGTCAGAACCCATCCCCCCCTACACGTAGGCGGAGGTAGGCTACACTCTCATTCACTGGGGTGAACCCCAACATACAGGCACCAAGATTGGGGGCAACAAGTATGCCCACTCCTGCTCGGCTCCTCTCATCAGAGGCAACTCCAGAGTGGAAGAGTGTACAGCCCCTCTCAAAGAAACTGGTTCCAGAGCCATGTGTTGAGGTGAGTCCAACTATTTCTAGCTGGAACCTCTCAACTTCACACACCAGCTCAGGCTCCTTCCCCGGACGTGGGTCACCGGGACCCCACTCTGGAGCCAGGACTGGAGGTGGGACACGCGGGCAAGTGCCTGGTGGCCGGGCTTTTACTCATGGAGCCCGGTCAGGCACAGCCCGAAGAGGAGACGTAGATCTGGGCTCACCACCTGTGGAAGGCGCCAAAGGGGTCGGGTGCAATGTGGGATAGGTGGTGGCCGAGAGCGGGAACCTTGGCGGTCTGATCCTCGGCTACAGAAGCTGGCTATTGGGACGTGGAATGGCACCTCTCTGGTGGGCGAGGGAACATTGTTTCCATTTGTCTGACTCATTATAAGGGGTCTTTGATTTATCAACCCCGATTTCCTTCATTTTGGGAAATCGGAAATCAGACGATACTTGCATGAGAAACCGATTTTACAGATTTTTTTTTTTTGTTTTAACAGCAATTGTCTGAACTTCGTTTATATTTCAGAGCACTACCTCATGGCCAGTTAAAACAAGTTTGTATTGTTTCTAGGATATTGTTCAAGGATATGTTTTCACTAAAATAACATTGGAAAATTGAAGGTGCATTTTGACCGTATAACACCTGACAGTGTCGCTTATAAAACAAAATCGGAATCGGCAGGTCAGACTTTTTAGAAATCAGTGATCGGCCAGAAAACTGCAGTCGGTGCTCCCCTACTTGTTTATTAAAAGCAGTTGTTTGCACTTTTCAGAGAGCATTGTTAATAAATGTTGGCAAGAGCAACAATATGCCATGATTTTATTCCTGTCATTGACCACAAATAAAGTTTCAGGCTCAGGATTTTATTAACTTTAAGCCCTGTAATGAACTTATTATTTAACTTGGTATTAACAACAAACACCCCCACCTTGCATTTACACATAAAATTAAATGGAAGAAAAAGGTTGAATTAAAAAAGTAATGTAAAAAATACAACTTCTACAAATACAAACTTCAGTACACCTAATATAAAGGTGGTGTATATTCACACGTGTCTGAACACGTCACTGTGGTGCTCAGTTCAGAGTGATTTGACATCCTCTACAGTTAACGTAGGACAGAAAGAGATTCCAGGTTATTTCAAATAATCCAACATTACAGCCAACATCAACCGGATTATTTCCAGTTTAACATAAAGGACCTCTCATATCAGCTTGCATCTGCAGATTCATGTGGTAATTTAGCAGATAAACCCAACAGTTTTCAGTCAGGTCATCTGGACAGTTTCTTTTTTTGCTGAAACATTTCACCTTCTATCCAGAAGGCTTCATCAGTCAAGGAAACACACAATACAAAACTGATTCTTCCCCCAAACAGCTTATTCCAAAGTGGAACAAACCAGTTATGTTGATGCTAAGATGGTGTCCTTGGCACGCCCCCTCCTCTTGTGCCGGCCCTCTTCCTCGTCAACAGTCATGTCAGACTGGTCCAAACCAAAAAAAGTCCATGCTCAATAATCCAGGTATACAATCCAACAATTCCAACAATCAGTTTTGTGTTGTGTGTTTCCTTGACTGATGAAGCCTTCTGGATAGAAGGTGAAACATTTCAGCAAAAAAAAAGAAACTGTCCAGATGACCTGACTGAAAATTGCTGGATTGTATACCTGGATTATTGAGCATGGACATTTTTTTAGCAGATAAACCTTCAAGCCGGCAGAGCTGCAAATGCAGTTAGGTCTTTTTAGCTGGAGAGAAGTGATGTGGACCACACCCCAAACAACACAGTTAAACCATTAGGAGCAATAACTTTTCCAATAACTTTTAACTTCAGAAAGACCTTAGACTTGAACCTCTTCAAAAAGATTAAATTATGAGAGAGAAGCCCAAATTAGCAATTTAATAGGCAATTAATTAATAAAAGGCAAAAGTTAACATAAAAGTACCTCAAATATAGCTCTAAAAGCAGAAAAAAAATAATTTAGCAGAAACTGAATAGAGTATTAAAAAACCTGAAATTGGCATACAGAAGCTGAACCCGAACAAAAGCTGAAATGAGCAGTAAAAGGTTTTACATAGCACGAAGGGTTTAAAGCACGGGTGTCCAAAGTACGGCCCATGGGCCATTTGCAGCCCTTGGAGTGAGTTTGTGGGGTCCACAGCTGCAGTTTAAGAATGGTATCATTTTATCCAGCAGGATTGAGGTCCATGCAGACTTTCTGTAAATAAATAATGTGTTTAGGTTAAACAGCAAAATAGATGGGAAAACAATCTTCTCAAAATGAGCAATACTAAACAAAATACAAACCTTTGGATATAATCTTTTTATTTTCACTTCATGGTACAAAGCACCAAAAACTTTTACTGATTTCTACCAGAAAGGAGATTTTTGGATCGTAATTCATAAAACTTGTCTAAAAATTGCAGTTGATAAAATAATCAAGAGAGAAACTGGACATTTAAATGAATATAACGTGGTATCATCTGCATACAAGTTGATCAACTTTATCTAACCTTCAATGAATCTGTTGTAGCAACTGACAGCTGGATGATTTTTCAGAACTTTGATCAGCCTTTTGGGTCGTCCATGGTCCAAAAGGCTGATCGACCTCCTTTTTAAAAGGACACTTACTTGAATTACGCTTTTGTTGCTGAGAACAGACTAAAATGAACTTTCAAAACACAAGAAAACAGTAAACATAGACCAAACAAATCAACTAAATCTTTTTTAATAAAAATATAAACTTGGTGTTTATGAGATTTTTAATGTTTTGAATCTACAACAATTTAAAACATTCTCCACTAAAATTAGTCAACTTGTGTTCTTTCAAAAAATCGTTCATGTTGTTGAGTTAAATTCACATTCTTGCCCCCCCCCCCCCCCCCCAGTCCTTTCATCTGGATAGTTTTGGCCCACACATGGAAATGTTCAGACACCCCTGGTTTAAAGGATGTGGACAGAGCTTGATTCAAACATGTCCGACAAAGCTGAAATAATTCCACAGGTAAAAATTGAACAGATGGCAGCAGTCCCAGCAGAAACGTGCTGAACGAGCCGAATGTTTGGATTTATGGATTGTTGAAACGGAACAAAAATTAAGGAAGGCGTTAAAAAACTTACGGAAGAAAAACCGCATGTAATGAGTGAGAATGATTTAGAAACATTTAGACAATTCTGAAATTCATGGCAGAAATAAGAATCAGATGACTCCTGACAGGGGACCCCCCCCCCCCCCCCCCCCAGGCCTTCAGGTGTGTTCTAAATTTCCTCTCACTGCAGGTATTGCCTTGCTGTACCTTCAGCTGCATCGGGTCTCTCATGAAGCCTCCCACCTGCAGAGGGCGCTGGACTACGTGAAGCGGGCCATGAGGATTCTGAATGGGCGCAGGGTGACCTTCCTGTGTGGGGATGCAGGACCCCTGGCTGTGGGGGCCGTGGTCCATCACAAACTGAACAACTCTGCTGACAGCAAGGACTGTGTGTCCAGGTGAGTGAGCTGAAGAGTGCTAGGAGCTCCGGCTGATTGTTGGAACATCTTCTGTTCTTCTTCTGAGGAGGAGGTTTAAAAACTGGTTTTATCTCTGGACCACGGTTTCACTCAATCTTTACTGGTTTGGATCCAGAGCGGCTGATTACCAGATTCATCTACCTGTGTGCATATTTGCAATAAAACCCCTGAGAAATGGAGCTCCCAACACCCCAGTGTACCGCGTGTTCCCACCTGCTGCAGCAGGTCCAGCATCAAGTCTGTTCAGGTCCTTCTCCATGATCCTGGTCCATCTAACCTGGACTGTTCATCCATTCAGGACCAAATGTCTCCAGTTCCTTCAGGATGGACGTTGCATCTTGTGTCCAAAAATCTATAAATCAGACCAGAGGTTCTCAGTTGGACTGAGGTCTGGACTTTGACAGGACCTTTACTTGGTTCTCCTTGAACCAGTGGAGAGTTCTTCAGCAGTGTCTTCAGGGTCATTGTCCTGCTGGAAGGTGGACCTCTGTCCCAGTCTCAGATCTCTGGAAGACACATTTCCCTCAGGAATTCCTTGTTTTTTTCTCCATCCTTTTAACGTCGACCAGTTTTCAGTTCCTGCTGATGAAAATCCCACAGCATGATGCAGCCACCACCATGCCTCACTGTAGGCCTGGTCTTCTCAGCATGTTGGTAGCTCAGCCTCAGACATGGTGGTCTTGATTATAAAACGGTTCAGTTTTAGTCTCTTCGTCCTCGTGTTAGATTCTCTAATGTCCCTGTTGTCCAACACGCTCTGTCTTTTTGTGGACAACGTTGTCTTTGACCACTCCTCCACGAAGCCCAGCTCTCTGCAGCTCATGTGTTCATTTATGTCTTTGATGTGTTTAAAAACAGCAAAATGCTTGGTTGGTTCAAATGAACACAGGACAAAGCTGTCGGTCAAAAAATGATCAAAAATCCTCCATCGAATCAGAACTAATCTGATCAAACTGTTGTAAACCAGGATGAGACAAGAAAACAGAACATGAAATAATTAAAAGACCATTTTCAGACGGGACGTAAGACTCTTCAGTCCAGACCTCCAATGGACTGTCCCTCAAAGTTTCAGTCGTCTTCTTGGTTGAGTTTTAACTCCTCTTCCTCAGCAGACAGATCCTCCATCCCTTCAGAAGAGCTTGAAGTGTCCTCCTTTCATCATCATCTCCTTCTACTGTTAGTTTGACATCTTTTACAAGTATTTAGTTTCCTTCAGGTTGAAATCTTCATGCAGTCCTGTGTTTAACCACGGATCGTCCTGGGAGGTGGTAACCTCCGCTGTGTTTGACCGTCAGGCTCCTCCAGCTGCAGCGCTCCGTGCTCAGTCCAGACTCTGAGATGCCTGACGAGCTGCTGTACGGACGAGCCGGATACCTTTACTCTTTACTCTACATTAATAAGGAGATGGGAGAGAATACTGTGGACGAAGACACAGTTACGAAGGTGAGGCTCCTCTGCTGTCACATGTTCTACATTACTGTCCAACATAATGTTTTTTATTCATTGTGATTAAACCAGCTCATCCTTTGAGATGTTCATTTCTCTCAGATGTTCATGTGCAAAAATGAGAACCGGTGAGTTTGAGGAACCAGACTCGATTCTTCAGAATAAATACACTCTGATGCCAGCCTTAGGTTTTGTTGTCCCCAGTTGAGGAGTACCATCGTACAAATGTGCAGCAGGTGCAAAATAATTTAAAATAATTCATTTTAAATAAAAGTTCCATGCCGATGGTGCAGATCGACCTCAGTCCAACTGATTGATGACTCATCCACCAATCAGCCAATCGAGTGTCATGTCCAATCTTATTTTGAAAAACCGTGATAGAGCGAGTCTGCGATAAATGAACCGTGAAGTAGCGAGGGACTACTGTACTCCAGGAAGACACTCATCTCCAACACTACAAACATTCACTATTCAAATCCCTCGGAGCCGAGTGAAAATCAGTGTACAGCTTGTTTTTCAACCCTGACTTAATAAAAAAATATTTTTATAACAGAATCTTCGATTAGCGTCCTACAACACCAGCCATGTTGGATTCCTGCGGTGCTTCAAAGGACAAACGTGCACGTACACGTAGTGTTTGGTTTTGACCCACCACACGAACGGCTTTAACGCAGTGGTTCTCAAGCGCCATGAGGGGTCAACCAGAGGACATCCCATTTCCTATAGTCACACAAACGTGTTTCCATGACGATTCGATTGCGCAGCGTGGAGACGGGGTCCACTTCCTGCTGCTCACACGGCGTGTGACCCAGTCAGACTGACGAGAACCTTCTGACAGGTTCTGACAGCACTAACCAGACAGCAGGTTCTGTTTGGGCCAGCTCTGAGTGAGGGTGGCGTTACAGTTGGACACGGGTTTCAGTGTTTTGTTTCTTTTCATGGTTTGGTGCGGAGCTGTCCGGACTTGAATTTAAAAACGTTCAGGGACGTGTTTCAGACCTTTCAGTCTTTCGCAGATGAGCTCCACAAGAAAATCCTAGAAAGTTCATTTAAAGGACAGCTTTAATTCTTAAAGACATTATAGGACATAAAGGTCGTATAAGGTCACGGAGCTCACCTGGTCCATTTGTCTCTGAACCTCAGGTGGTGACGGCCATAGTGGAGTCTGGGAAGAACATGTCAGCAGAGCAGAAGAAGACGGAGCGCTGCCCTCTCCTCTATGAGTGGCACAAGAAGCAGTACATCGGAGCGGCCCACGGCCTGGCCGGCATCTACTACATGTTGATGCAGGTAAGATGCAACAGAAACTCACTTCTCTGTCTTTAACCTGCTCAGAGGAGCAAGACACGAAGACGCACCATCACTACGTGGAGTGTCACACACTCCATCACATCAGCTTCAAGGTCAAGGTCGCAAATCAAGGTCAAACATTACAGTAGTCGCTCGATTCCTGCGGGGGTTACGTTCCAGACATCTCTGCGATAGGTGAAAAACCATGAAGTAGGAACACTGTATTTTAATATTTATACATATTTTAAGGTTTTATAAACCCTTCCCACAATCTTGCAATGTTCTTGACTCAAACCTACATAATTTTAACAACATATGTATATGTACTGTACAGTACTGCAAAATTTTACTCACCAGCTCTGCAGACCAGCAGCTCAGTTCCAGTTCTGCAGCATGAAGCCCACCGCTCCGTCCAGGTGGATGTGCACGTGGATAATTGAGCTTCAGGATTATTTGAGACTTTCCTGCCAGTTCTGTGATCTTAATAAATAGTTACTTCTGGATTTGTGTTGCAAAACTTTCCCTCCGTTTTGCAGAAAGCAGTGGCTGGAATCACTGTTGGCTTCTGGGTAGTGTAGTTCTTTTGACTGGCCTTACAATGTAGGCTTATTGAAGGAAAACTACAAAATGGCGCCACCTGTTGAAAGTATTTTTTTTGTTGTTAACTTTTTATCTCATACTGTCCCAATCACGTGATTAATATTAAAGTTGACAATTGTGTGTCGTGTACAATCTTACATTGAAAAACCACAAAAGAGCGAGTCCACGAAAGTCAAATCTTGAAGTATTGAGGAACTATTGTACACAAGGTCTTTGTCCGGGCCATAACATATTGATTACTGTATAATAGTTGGTTGGCATATAATCTGCTCCAGTGTTTCCCCTATTGTTATACAAGGAGGGCGCCCCGCCTGCTGAACTGTCCTTCACCTCCTACAACCCCCCTCCCCCCATCGACAACTGCCAGCACTGATGTAGTGCTAAACTAGCCGTGCACATTACCAAGTAGGTATCTCTGCAGACAAATTCAGAAGGCGTATCTGGGGGCCCACATCTGATTGGACTATAGGAAAATGGGTGTGTATGGAGGGGCACATCTGATTGGTCAAAAAAGAAAAAGGTTGAATGAAAAAAAAAAGCCATTTGTGTTAACCACAGTCATATTATGTCTATGGTGTTAACCGGTTCAACATTAGTGGCGTCTGCATAACTTCTTTTTCCGCTTCTCTTAACACAGAACTTCCGGTTACATTTCAAAATAAGAGCAACATAAATGGGTCGTGGGGAGGTCTAAATGTTTTTTTTTTTTGTAATACCTAGCCATTATATTAAAAAACAAAATCCATTTTGGTTTTTGAAAAATGTGAAAGTAGTTACAATCGATTCATAAAGAAAGAAAAATAAAGTAACCAAAATAATAATGATACTTAAACTGGCTTTGGGACAAAGGATGTTTCCTTTAACTTCACATTTTCTTAACAACGAAGTCCACGCTTAATAATCCAGGTATACAATCCAACATTTTTCAGTCAGGTCATCTGGACAGTTTCTTTTTTTTTTTTTGCTGAAATGTTTCGCCTTCGATCCAGAAGGCTTCATCAGTCAAGGAAACACACAACACAAAACTGTTTCTTCCCCCAAACAGCTTACTCCAAAGTGGAACAAACCAGTTATGTTGGTGCCAAGATGGTGGTCTGGCAGGCCACATCATTGTTGGTGCTAAGTTCCATCTTGGCACCAGCATAACTGGTTTGTTCCACTTTGGAGTAAGCTGTTGGAGGAAGAATCAGCTTTGTGTTGCGTGTTTCCTTGACTGATGAAGCCTTCTGGATCGAAGGCGAAACGTTTCAGCACAAAAAAAGAAACTGTCCAGATGACCTGACTGAAAAATTGTTCACATTTTCTTGTTCTACTTTTAAATCAGTCACTGCAGATGAGTGATCGTCAGTTTCTGTCAGATTTCTGCAACTGGAGCAGGTATTTCTGTTTACTGGTTAACTTCCAGCTGTCTCACATTTTAAGGGTCGATCCTACTCCATGTTTCAGCTCCTTTCATACATCAGATCTCATAGAAGAACTTCTAAAGAGCAAATGTTGTTTTTAGTGTTTGTTTTGGACCGTTATCTCGTTACAGGACTCATGTTCTTTAATTGAGACCAGACTTTTGGACAAATAGGAGCAGGTTTCGCTTCAGACGCTTCAAATTTCATTGTACCCAAACCGTATTCAAGCCAGCCTGTCAGGTGCAGCTACAACCAAGAACAAAAGACAATCTTCTTGTGTTTGACAGCAGGTATAACGTTGTTTCTTAGAAACCTTCAGTTTAAAAAAAGAACTGAAGTAACTTACCTAAAGAGTCAGTAAATACAGCTGCCAATCAGTGTTTGCCCTCTAGAAACACCTATTCTCCAGAAACACCCACTTTTGGTCTGCAGAGAACCCCTTCTCCACATTACAGACACGCTAGCTACAAAGCTACAGACATAGCTTTCCGCTTCCCTCACACATTCCCCCCACCCGGTCAACAAAAATCCTTGAAGAGACGAGCGCACTGCCAAGGCAAGTGCCCTAGAGGAAACACTGTGCTGTATGTGGTACTCTTGTTTGCAACCGTTTTTCTACTTTTAATTGACTTCTAATTGTAGCGAAAGCATTCATTCAGGTAACTTTAGCAACAGTTTTACTATTTTGAGCTTTTAACTACAATTCTGCTGCTTTTGTAGTTTTTATGTGCAGTTTTGCTAATTTTAGCGAGTCTTGTCAAGCTAACCTTAGGTCATTTAGTTTTAATTTTTTTTTCCCACTAGCTTGGATTTTGAGTTTTCAGCCAAGAGCAGAGATGAGCTGTAGAAGTAAAATCCAGGTGTTGTATGTCTCTTCAGCCTGAAGCGAGGGTCCATCTAGACGTGCTGTCAGAGGCAGTCCGACCCTCCATCGACTACGTGCGCAGTAAGAGGTTTCGATCGGGAAACTTCCCATCATCGCTGAGCAATGAAAGTGATCGACTGGTTCATTGGTGCCACGGAGCAGCCGGAGTCATCCACATGCTCCTCGTGGCCCATAAGGTAAGACTGATGTTCACTCTGGATGGCAGCGAGTCAGAACTCACTGTAAAACCAGCACAACACAATGGTTCTGGATGTCTGGGATACCAGTGCTTGTATGGAAAGTCCAGTGGGTCATAAATCACTGAAATGTGTTGAGAGCTGCCGAAAGAAGAAGAAAAAAAAAGCCTAAACTAGCAGAAAAAAACTGAAAGTAGCAGAAAGTTTGTCATTAACTGCATAGAACGTTATTCAGGAAGGTCTTCAAGTACGTCCCCTCCACTCCCAAAGTCCTGAACCTTCTACAGGAAAAGACGATCCTTTTGGTTTTACCTTTGCAACTCCATTACCATAGGAACCCCTGTCCCCTTGCCAATGGTTCCTCTGGTTCTGTGTGTGTTCTGGCAGGTTTTCAAAGAGGAGAAGTACTTGAAGGAGGCTGCAGAATGTGCTGAGATCATCTGGCAGAGAGGCCTGCTCAGGAAAGGCTACGGTATCTGTCACGGAACAGCTGGCAACGGCTACGCCTTTTTATCTCTTTACAAACTCACCCAGGAGAAGAAATACCTGTATCGTGCATGCAAGGTAAGACAAACTTTTATAGTGACCAGCAGATATACACCTGAGGTCCTGAATGAAAGAGTCCTGAAGAAAGTCTTTTGATTGATAGTTTATTGATTCTGTGATTTTGTTACGACTGCAGTTTGCTGAGTGGTGTTTGGACTATGGGACTCACGGCTGTCGCATCCCTGACAGACCGTACTCTCTGTTTGAAGGTAACAAATTGACAATTGTTCCTCTCTAACCATGTCCACCCAATGAGATGTAGAAGACCAGCAGTCAGACTGGTGATTGAGGCGATCAGCATGTATGTAATTGTACTCGTTTAACAAAATCGTGGGAATTACAGAAATTCACAGTAAGTCATAAAGAAACAAACCAAAACAACATTGATTTAAACTTCTTTCTTTTTATGGCTTAAGAAGTGTTGAATAAAAAATGTCCATCCATCTTCGGCTGCTCATCGATGATCAGGTTGTGGAGGTAACAAAAAGTCTAGGTGAGAACCTAGACCTCCCTCTCCCCATAGAAACTTTCCAACTCGTCCTGGGGGATCCAGGCCAGATCTATAATTCATCCAGGAAGTTAGTAGGAGAGATCATATTTCTCCAGTTTTAGTTTCTCTCCATTGGCTCCCTGTCAAATCCAGAATAGAATTCAAAATCTTACTTCTAACCTACAAAGCTCTCAACAACCTAGCTCCATCTTATATTACAGATCTTATTGTTCCCTATTTTCCTAACAGAGCACTTCGCTCTCAGACTGCAGGTTTACTTGTGGTTCCTAGAATTTACAAAAATAGAATGGGAGGCAGATCTTTCAGTTCTCAGGCTCCTCTCTTGTGGAACCAACTTCCAGTTTCTGTCTGTGAGGCTGACACATTATCCAGTTTTAAAACTAGGCTTAAGACTTTCCTTTTTGCTAAATCCTCCAGTTAAGACTCTGGCAGCAGCATTTTGGATCAACTGAAGACGTTTTAAATAAGTATTTGGACACCCAGATGATAAACCATTGCAATAGTCCAGTCAAGATGTGACAAATGCATGGACCAGTTTTTCTACATATTTTTTAGATCAGATGTTTCTAATGTTAGAGATATTACGCAGGTGGAAGAAGGCAGATCTAGTAACGTTTTTAATGTGGGGGATAAAAGACATGTCCTGATCAAAAATAACACCAAAATTTTTAACATTAGAGCTGGAGGACAGATTAATGCCATCTAAGGAGGGAGAAAGACTGAAAAATTAATTCCCAAGGTGCTCAGGTCCAAAAACCAAAACCTCAGTTTTGTCTTTGTTCAACAGGAGAAAATTAAGGGTCATCCAGGTTTTTATGTCTTTAAGACATGCTTGTAGTCTAAGTAGCTGATTGGATTCATTGGGTTTAATGGACAAATATAATTGTGTGTCATCAGCATAACAATGAAAATTTATCCCATGCTGTTTAATAACTTTACCTAATGGAAGCATGTATAAAGTAATGCGTATTGGTCCAAGCACTGAGCCCTGAGGAACTCCATGACTAACTTTGGTGTATGAAGAAGATTTATTATTTACATTTACAAACTGGAATCTATCATCTAGATATGATTTAAACCATTTTAGAGCTGTTCATGTAATCCCAATATCATATTCAAGCCTCTGTAGTAAAATATTTTAAACCTCTTGACCAAAGATGGAGGTGGGAACAGACGAACCAGAAATACGAGAGTTTTGTCTTTGCCAACCTCACACAAGCTCTGGCTTCTTATGATCGAGGTGACATTCCTTGGCCCTTCAGCCAGTTTATGCTACCAGTATTTGCCATGGCTGGGGACCCTCCCTCACCTGACCCCTGGCATGCATGCTCTTCTGCAAGCTCCCCCTCATGCCTAGCTTCAGGGTGGTGCCCCAGATTCCCTTTTCTGGGTGAGGTTTCCTGATGCACTTGATGTTTATCCTTCAAGGTTTTTGAGTCCCTCTCTCTTGGTCTGACACAGGGGTGTCCTCCAGGGCCTCTGTCCTGCATGCTTTAGATGTTTCTGTACTTTGTCACACCTGGTGTGAGTCATTGAGTGATGAACAGGCTGCTGCAGAACTTGGGAGTCTTGCTTAGAAGCAGAGAAACATCTAAAACACGCAGGATAGTGGACCTCTAGGACCAGCATTGTACACTACTGGTGTGACCCCTCCCCTCAAGCCTTTACCATAGGAGACCCTACAAGGGGCTGATGCCCCAGACAACATGGCCTCCAGGATCATGGGGGACGTTAAGGAGAAGACTCAGACAACTAAAACGTATTGGAGAACATGAGCCTGTCATGGCTCAGGAACATTTATCACCAACACCAAGTGGTACAACGTACCACACGGCTGCATGTGCGTCGTTTTATGTGACTAATAAATGAAGGTTTGCTTATCTGACGCAGCACAGTGGAGCAGTGGTTAGCACTGTCGCCTCACAGCAAGAAGGTCAAATGTTCTCCTGGTTAATGTGTCAGAACTGTACTTCCAGCCTGGTGGAAGGTTAATGACATGCAGAGGAAACCCCAGCTGGTGCTGGAGCACCTTTCATTTCTCAGGCCTTCAACAGGCTGGTGCCCCCCCCTCCCCCCCTCTCTGGATACACATTATTTATTTACCCTTTATTTATACAGGAAGTCGCATTGAGTCATGAGGACTCATTTTCAAGAGAGACCTGTTTTAGGGAGCAGATGGTGGGTTTTAAGGGCCTTGCTCAAGGGCCCAGAGTGGGGCAGGTGTGGGTGTTTCACCTTTTCTACACACACTTTGATGTAGTCAGTCCGGGGAGTCGAACCGACGACCCTCCGATCACAGGCCCACCTCCTCTAACCTCTGCGCCACCACCCCCCTGAGCTTGGTGTAGGAGAGTCTAAGACACAACCTTAAGGTGTTCCATCATCTGCAGGTGGTGCGAGCATGGTTTCAGGCGGTTGCACGGTGGCTCAGTGTATTAGTTAGGTTGGAACATCAGTCTGACGGTGAAATATTAACACACGTTTTCTCGTAGGGATGGCGGGGACCATTCACTTCCTGTCAGACGTGACCCAGCCTGAAGCTTCCTGCTTCCCTGCCTTTGAGCTCTGACCTGCCCGTGGTGGGACCGAGGACCGTGAGACGGCTGAAGAAGACAACTCGTGAACTGGACTCTGGACTTGATTCAGACTGGATGTTGCTGAAACCAGCAGAATGTTGAACAGAACCAAGTCTGGACATTTGTCTTTGTGTGTCTGCATGCTCCCTGTCTGAGTTCTCCCTGCAGTAGGTGTAGCCAGGGTGGATCCTGGTTCCTGTTTGGCCGTTCTCCTCCTGTTTCCATGGCAACAGTACAGCTGGTGCCTCCTCCTTCTGCAGGACACACGTTTGATGTCTCCTCTGACTTTCCACTTCCTGTTGGTTCTTACCAACAAGAGGTCAAACCTGCTGGTTGTCGTTTCCTCCGTCAGAGGGGAGTTGAACCTCCAGCTGCTGCTCCACACTGAAAGACTGTGTCACATAAATCCAGGTGTTAGAGATAATTCAGCTATTTTGAAGTTGTTCGGTCTTTACTGGCAGTCTAATAACCACTTGTTCAAGTTAGGGATGGGCATTAAACAATCTGAATCTGTTAATTGTTCAGGGTTCTTTAAATATTAGACAATCCCAACTGTCAAAAACAACTCAGATTGTCAAAATATTTTGTATAAATATTTTAAAATGGAAGTTCCACTGGTTTCCATTTGACGTTGTTCAGCTGATAGTCCTGTCTGCTGCGTGATGTGAAACAAGAAGCTGTGTACCTTCAAAGATGGCCGTCAGTCCTGTCGGGATCAAACTCTCCTGTCAATGAAGGAGCCATCTGCAACATGTAAGATGTTTATTGTTTATAACTGTTCCATGGAACCCCACTTACAAAATGGTTGAAATACTCTTTAAACACCATCGGCAGGTGGAGCAGGAGCGTCCTCATCAGCAGCAGCATGTTCTCAGTGGACACGGCTGCAGACGCCTCACCGTGTAGATCCGGTCCTGACAGGACCAGGATGCTCCTGAAACACCTGGTTGTCCCTCAGAGACCCCCTGCTGAATATTGTTGTTGCATGAGATTTCCATGTGTCCTGAACTCTTGGACGTGTCCCACCTGTCTCCATGTCCTCAGACTGTTACCTGTAAATGTGTGGACATGTTCTTCTGTGGTGTCCTGAACTCTTGGACGTGTCCCACCTGTCTTCATGTCCTCAGACTGTTACCTGTAAATGTGTGGACATGTTTTTCTGTGGTGTCCTGAACTCTTGGACGTGTCCCACCTGTCTTCATGTCCTCAGACTGTTACCTGTAAATGTGTGGACGTGTTGTTCTTCTGTGGTGTCCTGAGCAGGACAATGAGACGGTTGTTCAGCGTTCATGTTGGTTCTGTGGGACATGAAGCCGAGTCCAGCTCCTGCTCTGCTGGATGTTCCAGCTCTGACCAGAACCCGAGTCCAGTTCTACACATGGATGTGGTTCTGACCTGTGAAGGGCCCAGTGGCACCAAACCACCTGAACACAGCTGAGTAGGACACGGACTAAATCAAATAAAAATTAAATCCTGACTCAAAGTTCCTGAAGACGCTTGAAGGTTCCTGTTTGCTAACACTAAGCTAGCTGTGGCAGCCATCTTGAATTTTACAAAGGACGTTAGAAAGTCTTCACCAGTTTGGTGTGGGGTAACTTTCAGCTACCACCACACCAAACTGGTTTGTTACAGCAGCCAAAGCTTGTAGCCTAAACACTGCAGTACCAACACGCAGCAGAGGGTCCAGGTCCCAGTTTGAGCCAGAACCAGCTGGAGCGAGGCCTCGTCTGATGGCTGCATAAACAGGTTTTACTTGTCATCAGTTGGGTCCTGTAACGAGAAGGTTCTGGTCCAGTACTCCCAGCAACACATGGTGCAGTCCACAGAATGTACAGACTTCTCTTTCTGTCTGGAAACAAACCGTTGATTAAAAACATCTTAAAGTTTAGATGACTGGTGTCGGACTTTATTTCTCTAAAGTTTCAAGAACGACCTGCAACAGGTGAGACGGGAGCTGTCCACGACAGGTGAGACGGGAGCTGTCCACGACAGGCGAGACGGGAGCTGTCCACGACAGGCGAGACGGGAGCTGTCCACGACAGGCGAGACGGGAGCTGTCCACGACAGGCGAGGCGAGAGCTGTCCACGACAGGCGAGACGGGAGCTGTCCACGACAGGCAAGATGGGAGCTGTCCACGACAGGCGAGAGCTGTCCACGACAGGCGAGGCGAGAGCTGTCCACGACAGGCGAGGCAAGAGCTGTCCACGACAGGTGAGACGGGAGCTGTACACGACAGGCGAGACGGGAGCTGTCCACGACAGGCGAGGCGAGAGCCGTACACGACAGGCGAGACGAGAGCTGTCCACAATGTCCATTCAAAATGTTACTCTAGGTTCTGAAATAAATCTTTATTTAAATCAGAGTAGAGAACAAGCTGCCCCGCCCCCTTTCCCAGTGTGTGTCACTGTTTATTTACAGTGTGTGTGTGTGTCACTGTTTATTTACAGTGTGTGTGTGTGTCACTGTTTATTTACAGTTTGTGTGTGTGTCACTGTTTATTTACAGTGTGTGTGTGTGTGTCACTGTTTATTTACAGTAATGCTTCACTTGACACCACTAACAGGTTTATAAATAACTGACGCTCCTCGACTCCACCCTTCTTCTTGCTCTTCAGTTCCTTCATTTACTTCTTCTCGTTGTTCTGAAATATCTGTTCATACGGCGGTGGCGGGTGGTTGCAGTAGGACGGAGGTGGTGGATAGGAGGTCATCATCATGTGGGCGGAGCTAGGTTGTGCGGGGTACGCAGGGTGAGTCATCATGTCGCCTCCTGTCATCCCGTATGAGGCCTGCAGACTGCCCGGCTGCTGAGAAACTACAAAAAAACAAGACGAGGGTAAAGTCAAGTCATTCTGCTCATAACACACAACTTAAAGCAAATATTACCCAACAAACAAACCGGAACAAATAAAACATTAAAAACAAAAAAAACGAAGTCCAGATGACATGATTCAACCTTTTTTGTTGTTATATACCTGGATGACTGAGAAAACAAACTTTGTGTTTTTGAAACCATTAGTGAAAAGGCCAGACTTCAGGGGTATCTGAGGCAGGCTTGAAACACAAGAGTCAGGGTGGCTTCTGGGTAATACCAGATGGCTAGGCCTCAGACTGACGAAGCCTCTTGGACGAGGGGCGAAACGTTTCTTTTTTAACAAAAAAACGAAGTCCAGATGACATGATTCAACCTTTTTTGTTGTTATATACCTGGATGACTGAGAAAACAAACTTTGTGAATAATAAACAGTATTTGTTAGTGTGAGATATAGTGAAGCTATCTGAACATTATGTAATTCAAATTTAAAATGATGCTAAACATATAGCGTGAACACTAAAGTTGAAAATGAAGACATCAGGTGTGGAGCTGTTAGACGAAGAGGTCCCGCTTGACGTCAAATCTGTCGACTCTTATCCAAAATCCAGCTTTAACTTGTTAAGTTGTTGTTAGCTGAGCTTTTTAGCTAACAGGAAAGAAGTGTGCCGAGGCAGCACGCATGCGCATTAGGTGAAGGTACAAAATTCACAGCGCCATCTAATGACCCGGCATTGTAACTACAGCGGATTCGGGAGGGCGGGGGGGGGGGGGGGGGGAATCCTCAGGATGCATGTAAACCCAAAATCCGACCGTGTCAACGCAAATCTGTTCCTCCAATTAACATACGAAAAAACCTACGTTTCACCCCATAGTGTCCGTGTAAATAGGGCCCGAGTGATACTAGCAATCACAGCATTGTAAGAGGGGGACAGTTGAACCCGGAGGCCTCCACCCCTGTTTAACGATGGACGATTTCTTTTCACAAAGATGGCCTCCTTTACTCCTCTCTCAAACCATCGTTCCTCTCTGTCCAGGATGTGAACATCTTCATCCCTGAAAGAGTGACCACTGGCCTGGAGATGAGTGTAGACCACAGAGTACTGGCCTGATGATGTTGATCTTCTGTGCTGGGCCATCCTTTTGGCCAGTGGCTGTTTAGTTTCCCCGATGTAAGACTGATCACAGCCCTCCTGACACTGAACAGCATACACCACATTGCTCTGTTTGTGCTGGGGGACTGGATCTTTGGGATGAACCAGTCTTTGCCGTAATGTATTTTGGGGTTTAAAAGCCACTGGGACGTTATGTTTAGAAAATAAACGTCTCAGTTTCTCTGATACTCCCTCAACATATGGAATGACCACTGGTCTGGGTCTGGGTTCCTCCTTTTCACCTGATGGCTGACTGGAGTCCTGTTTGGGTTTCTTCTCTGCTTTCAAGAAGGCCCAGTTAGGATATCCACATTGCTCTAGAGCCTGTCTTGTGTGGGATTTCTCCTTCTGCCTGGCTCCTGAGCTAGTGGGGACGCTGTCTGCTCTGTGGTACAGAGTCCTGATGACTCCTAACTTGTGCTCCAAAGGGTGATGGGAGTCAAACTGCAAATACTGGTCTGTGTGTGTGGGTTTGTGGTACACCTCAGTTTGCAAATGTCCTCTATCAGAGACTGAGACCTCACAGTCCACGAAAGCCAACTTGCCATTTTTTACATCTTCTTGTGTGAACTTGATGTATCTATCCACAGAGTTGATGTGGTCAGTAAAATGTTGGACTTCCTGAGATTTGATTTTAACCCAGGTGTCGTCAACATACCTGAACCAATGACTTGGTGGTGTCCCTGAAAAGGACGTCAAGGCTCTCTTTTCTACCTCCTCCATGTACAGGTTGGCAACAATAGGAGAAACTGGAGACCCCATAGCACACCCATGTTTCTGCCTATAATATTGCTCCCCATATGTGAAGTAGGTTGACTGCAGGCACAGTTTCAAGAGTTGACACAGTTGTTCTGTGGAAAGCGTGGTCCTGCTGCTCAGAGTGGTGTCTGATTTTAATCTTAAACTGACCACCTCTACTGCATCATCAACAGGAATGCACGTAAAGAGTGATGTGACATCAAAAGAGACCATTGTTTCGTCAGTCTCCATGATGACATCCCTCACCTTGTCCACAAAGTCCATGGTGTTCTGTATGTGGTGTTCTGAGCTGCCAACTAAAGGGATGAGTACAGACGCCAGATATTTGGAAACATTGTAAGTGACAGAGTTAATCATGCTAACAATAGGTCTTTGCTTCCTGACTTTGGAACTTTTTAAAACTCGTCCTGAAACAACTTTTTACATGTTTTTTCCTCCGAACCTACTCAAATTTAACTTTTGTTAAAAAAATCTTTTGATTATACTGTATTTTTTAACACCTGCAGTTATCTTGTTTTTTGTTTGTTTTACCTGTATATTGAGTTTCTATAAAGGCACTTTTTAAATAAAATGTAATGTTATTCTTATTTTTAATATATAATTTTACATAACATTTTGGTGAAAATGTAACAGTTTCACATCTGTGTCGTCTCAATATACTATAGAATATGTCACTCTGCCAGCAGGTGGTATGTATTTTTTAAGGAATGCTAAAATGTGATGACAGTAAAATAGTGGACCGTCTTCAGAAGGTTTAGAGGTTTCAGCAGGTACCGTGTGAAGGTGTGAACCTGTTACCTGGAGTGGTGATGGTATGTCTGGTGAAGGAAACGTTGAAGGCGGGCTCGTCTCTCAGGGGGTATGGATACATCCTCCTGCGGATGAAGAAGCCCGCTCCACAACAGAACAGCACCCCCATCATGAGCAGCACCCTAAGACACAAACAGAGCCTGGATTACACCTCCCGCCCTCATCAGGATGTGTTCAGTCCAACTTTGTGTCACCTGTTCAATTCAAATTCAACAATACTTTATTAATCCCAAAGGGAAATTATTTGTAGTAACTCGTTATCCTGATTTCATTAAGAGATGTTATAGATACTGATGGCTGTAGACAGGAAGGATCTCGTGTAAAAGTCCATCCCACAGTGGATCCTAAGAAACTGGTTGCAGATGCCGTCCGAACCATCCACCCAGACTCGGCTGGCCTCTCGGTTCCCCCGGGCTGTAGGACCACCCGAATGCCAGGCAGAAGTCATCCCAAAGCGATGGCCACTCCTCCCAGCAGTCTGCCGAGCTCCTTGTCGCTGCGGACAGCCAACTGTAGGTGCCAAGGGACGATCCGTCCTTCTGCTGTCATGAGCCGTGTTTCCTGCTAGTTCCAGGATCTCAGTGGTCAGGCACTCGAGCACAGCTGGCAGGTAGATGAGAATGCATCCACAGAACATCCTTTCAACTCATTTGAGATTTGGGGCTGTAGCTGAGATATCATTTGAACTTTTGAGATGTTAATCAGCTGCTGTTGGTTGTAGAAAACTGATGTGTTGCCATGGTTACACATCATAACATATGCAAATCTCAGAATGAAAGTAACAGAGCTGCTCCAACATGGTTCTAGGCGCAATTCTAGAACCAAAATTAACCCAATCCAACTCAACGAAACCAGTTTGTTGAACCCAAACTATGAATGATGTTTCTACTGCAGCACATATCTGAGGTACAGAGCTCCAAACTGGACTGAATGCTCCCACTGGTGTCTGTGGGAAACTTTTCTTTATCAGCAAGTTTAGATGATTATTTTATCAAGATCCTCTCACTGGAACATGTTAAGAACTTGTTTGCACATTCAATGGCTCTGGATCCATTCCAAAGGACAGAGATCTCTGGGTGTTGATTAAGGGAGCAAACATTGGCCCGGTCTCTTAGCTGTGTCCCAGTTGAAGCTGGAAGGGGACCAGTGTCCCTGTGGGCTGGTACAAGTACTAGTTTTATATTCCACCTCCTTCATGCTGTTGGTAAAATAAATAAAAAAAAAACAACTAGAATGTTCTTTTTAGGTGAGTTCACAGTTTTGATCTCTACTGTATGTTCAGTTTTTGTTCTTTCATGCTTCAAATAAAGCTCATGTAACACCATGACTGAGAGCGGGGAAGTGGGGGTGAATTAAAACCCCACACTGGTCGTGTGCTGACTTTGGTTCCAAGAATACAACATGGTCCCTTCTAGAAAATGGCTCCTGCTGGTTCCAGTTCCCAACAAGTAGAAATGGCGTGGAGTAAAACATGTTTATGATCGGGCCAATCACGTTGTGTCAGTCCAGTACACCCACTAAAGCCCTGTTCATTATTTGGGCTGGTCTTGTTCTGTAGGTCTGAGGGATCACCCACACCTTGGTGTTCTGCAGAGACCTCCTCATCTGAAAAGGAGGCACAGAGACACCGGACACGCTCTGTCGAACCACTGTTATTTAGAATCAACTAGATTTGAGGTAAATTGGTTAAAAAAAGCTCCTGATCTCTTTAAATCGTCATGACTGCAGGAACTGGTGAGGAAGAGATCCACATCCTGACCCACCAGCCTGGTTTCTGTCCTCTTCTTGAAGACCAAACCAATTGCATTTAGCAGTCATGATGGAGTTTGAATGCTACTCCTTTGTACATTTTGTAACATTTATCTTGTGGTAAACTTTTTAAAATAGAATGAACCAAAATAAAATAGTTGATTTTTGGAGAAAAATTAGTTACTTAGCACGGTGGCTCAGTTGGTAGAGTTGTTGCCTCTCAGCGAGGAGGTCGCCAGTTCATATCCTGGCCGGGGACCTCTCCATGCATGCGTGGGTTTTCTCTGGGTACTCCAGTTTCCTCCCACAGACCAAAAACATGCATGTTAGGCTGACTGGTAACTCTAAATTGTCCCCAGGTGTGAGTGAGAGAGTGAATGTTTTTCTCATTTGTCTCTGTGTGACCCTGTGATGGACTGGACACCTGTCCAAAGTGTTCCCCGCTTGTCACACAGTGACTGCTGGATATGGGCACTAGTGATCCCTGTGACTTGAAAAAGGAAAAAGTGGGTAAAGATAATGGGTGGATTGATGAAATTAGTCACTTTGCACTTTGGTAACAGTTTGTTTTAAATGTGCTCTATAAATAAATTTGACATGACTTGACTTTGATTAATGGGTAACCAATACATTGGTTAAAAAGTAATCAAAATAAAAGAAATATGCAGTAGTAGCAGCCCTGTTGATGTGGTACTGGATCTGTGGGACCAAACCAACACCCTAACGTGTGCGGATCCAGCTTGGGTTCTTTGTTCAGCTCCAAGTTTTGTGCATGTGGTTTATTGAGACTCACCAGAAGTACCAGAGTCTCTGGATGGACAGGGCTCGGACACAGCAGCGAGTACCGCAGCAGTCCTCATAGGAGCGACATCTGAAACGCACGAGAAAACAACTGCAGCAGCTGGAACATGGACATACTGATCAACATAGTCACAGAAACTTATCAGACCGCATATCCTAATGCATGCTCAATAATCCATGTAGAAAAATCTAAAAAAAAAGAGATAGAAAAAAAAATGCTATGCTGTCTGGGTAGGTCTCCCAAGGAAGATTGGTTCTAGCTGACAGGCCAATCAAAGAGTGATTCCAAAGACTCTTATGGACACAAAACAGCAAGGAACTCAGTGTGCCTTGCCCGGACGTGGGTTACCAGGGCCCCACACTTTAGTCAGGCCTGGGGGAGGGGCTCGTCTGCGAGCGCCTGGTGACCGGGTGTCTACCCATGGGGCCCGTTTGGGCTCAGCCCGACCAGGTAATATGGGTTTGTCTTCATGTGGGCCCACCACCATTATACAAGCGGGGCGCCCCGCCCCATCAACAGAACCGAGCACCCCGTCTACCGAACCCCACCCACCTGTCTGCACTGATGTAACGCTAAACTAGCGGCTCGCAATGCAGGTGCACTAGCTAAAAAGCTAAAAGCAGCCTCTTCCTTCATGCTGAACCCTCACGCTGAACACACCCCCGCCACTCAAAAACTGTCGGTACAAACAGCACACGGCTCAGATGTGCGTCTGTCTCTCCCCCGCACCGACCCCCCCTCGCAAAAAAACAAAAACAGTCGGTTCAGACAGCGCACGGCTGAAATATGTCTCTGTCTCTCTCCTCTCAAACACACTGCTCTAAAACTGTCAGTACAAACAGAACGGGGCTGTCTGTGTCCCCCAAAACTGTTGGTTTAAACAGCGCGCTGCGCAGCTTAAGACGAGTCTCCGTTCCAGACATTTTATTTGTGCAAACCGCTGCAGCGAGCCAACGGGGAAATCGAGGGAAGGCAGAGTATGCATTTACATGAGTAAAAGTTGGTGCACAAACTGTACTCTGATAAACAGCTCTTGCTCCAAGGCTTTGGAGCAGCTAACAGTGAAATGTCGACCACATTATCTACCCCGCAAGTTCACAGTGGCTTTCATAACAGCTGTTTACATAACTGTTTACATAACCGGATGCTATTGCTAATGACGCTCTGCAGGAGCTTCATGATCATTTCAGCTCGCTGCAGAGCAAACACTCTGAGGCTCTTTACATAGTGGCTGGTGACTTTTAATCACGTGAATCTAAAAGACTGCCTCCAAAGATTTTACCAGCATGGGGCCATACCAACACGTGGAAACAACATGCTGGACCGTGTTTACACAAACGTAAAAGATGCATACAAAGCCGAACCCTGCCCCCACCTAGGACTATCTGATCACATCTCAATCTTCATGGCTCCTGCTTACCTTCCCCCACTGAGAAGCTCCAGACCAGTACAAAATAAAGTTAAATCTTGGATCCAGAATAGTGGCCCCATAATAAAAGATTGTTTTGAATGAACAAACTGGGAGGTCTTCAGAGAAGCTGCTGAATATGGTTGGGCGCTAGACCTGAAACAATACAAATCCTCAGTTCTGGGGTACATTAGTAAATGTGCTAATGATGTCACCATCAGATATGTTAAGAGTTACCCGAACAGGAAGCCTTGGCTGAATGCAGAGGTTTGCACCCTGTTGGAAGCCAGGAATACTGTCTTCAGGTCTGGAAATTTACAGGAGTTGAGAAGGACAAGGAAAGAGCTGGTTGCTGGTATTAAAAGGGCAAAGGTCACACATGCACATATGATCCAGGGTCAATTCATCTCATAAGACCCAAAGAACATATGGAGGGGCATTAAGTACATAACAGATTTTAAAGGCAGAAGTGAACAATGCCCTTGAGACCCATCACTGCCTGATGCCCTCAAAAGGTTTTACACACGCTTTGAAGACCCGAACAGACCATCCAGCACCAGACTCACCTCACCTCACCACTGGACAAAGAGCTTCTCAGCATGACCTCAACCAAAGTGAGGAGTACTTTGCCGACATCTTTAACTCCTCACTTACCCTGGCAACAGTTCCCACCTGCCTGAAAAACGCCACCATCATCCCAGTCCCAAAGAACTCTACAGTGGCTGGGCTGAATAACTACCGGCCAGTGGCCCTCATCCCGATAGTCACTCCATGCTTCGAAAAACTGGTCATGACCCACATCAAAGCAACCATCAACATCAACGAGGACCCTCACCAGTATGCTTACCGCAAGAATCGATCAACATAGGATGCCATCTCCTTTGTGGTCCACACTGCTCTCACCCACCAGGAGCAGAAGGACTCCTACGTCCTTATGCTCTTTGTAGACTTCACATCTGCCTTAAATACCACGATCCCCCCAAACCCTGATGGACAAACTACTCACACTATAACTAAGCCCCTCCATTTGCAACTGGGTCCTAGACTTAATAAACAGACTGCAGTCAGTGAGGATCCACAAATTCTCCTCCTCCATCATAACCCTCAGTACTGGCTTCCCTCAGGGATGTGTGCTGAGCCCTCTCCTGTTCACTCTGTTCACGTATGACTGTGCACCTACCCATCCAGGCTGTCACGATGTAAAGTATGCAAATGATACAGCGGTGGTAGGATGCATCACAAACAACGATGAGTCCAGCTACAGGCAGGAGGTGGAACACCTGGAGAGCTGGTGCAAAGAGAATAACCTTCACATCAAAGTGAAGAAGACGAAGGAGATGATTGTGGACTTCAGAAGGAACAAAACCACCTCACCTCCTTCTACAGGTGTGCAGTGGAAAGTGTCCTACGCTCCAGCATCAACATGTGGCATGGAGGCTGCACAGCTGCCGAAAGAAAAGCTTTACAAAAAGTGGTGAAGGCTGCACAGAAGTCTGTTGGAGTCAGTCTCCCCACCATCACAAACATCTACACCAACAGATGTAGGAAGAGGGCCACCTGCATCATGAAGGACCACACTCACCCAGCACACACTTTTTGCCTTTCTCCCCTCAGGAAGCAGGTTAAGGAGCATTAAGTGTAGAACCATTAGACTGAGGAACAGCTTCTACCCCGAGGCTGTTAGACTCAAGAACCTCTAACCAGGATAATCAGTATGAAAAATCACATGTTGCTGCTGATCTTTTTCATGTTGCTGTGTTCATTCGTGTTCATCTGCTCACACAGACTCATGTTTGTGCTGCTGTTCGGCATATTGTGTTTTTCGTTTTTATGCTATTAGTGCTTAGTGTATTTTTGCTGATGTTTTTCTTAGTTCATATCTTAGATCTTATTACTGTTTTTCTTTTACATTTTATTGTTGGATGTAACTGGGACCCTGTGTACACAATTTCGCTCCACCACATGTACCACATGTGATGCGAATGACAATAAAGAATCTGTGAATTCTCTCAGAAGAGCTTGCTGTGGAAAGAGATGTCTAGATCTCCCTGCTCAAACTGCTGCCCCCGTGACCCAACTTTGGAACAAGCGCAAGATAATGGATAGGTAGATGGAAGACCTCTATCATTGGGGCCAATTCAGAGTGGATCCACTGTTCTTACATGTCAGGAGTCAGCGAAGGTGGTTTAGACATCTGATTCGGATGTCACCTGAGGGCCTGTTTCTGGAGGTTTCATCTTTGGAAGGAGACCCTAGACTACCTTCTCAATAACAGGCGGTGATTTTGCTGCCTACTCAAGTGTCTGGCGCTGCCTACCCTGTCGAAACTCAACTCAAGCAACAATGCAAACAATAGTCAACAAATTGGTCAGCACAACCAGAGATGTCCGATAAAGTATAAACACGTCTTTTTTTTTTTACATAAAAAAACCACCTATCGAAGGAGATCATTGAGGTCAACATGAGTGTTGCTTTGGAAAATTGACAAAATGCACTTTATGGATCATCTAACATTGAGAACAATAAACAGTCAAACTTCTGCAAACTTCTCCCTTGTGGTCAGAATAATGATATGCTTGCATTGTATTGAGCTCAGCGAGTTAAAAACATAATTTAATTGGTGAAACTTACATGAAGTAGATAGGATAACCCCCTTCAAAATACCAGCAGTACTTTTTGGCTTCCACAGACTGAAAAAAAGAACAAGTCAGGGTGTTAGGGGCGCAAAAACTGAGATGATGAGTAAAAAAGGATAAACAAAATGTTTTAGAACTAGCGTACAGGTTGACAAACATAGAAAATACTAGTGCTAGCAAAAAAAAAAAGGAAATGTCGATCTTTGGGGAGGCCATGGACAACTAGTTCTGGCTGTCACCAGCAAACTGGTTGATCCACCAAGAGAAGGTGCTATTTATAAAATTGAGTTTGTTGCAGCTCATCAGCCTGAAGAAGTCTTTTGGATAAATGATGAAACATTTCAACAAGAAGAATCCTTCCAGAGGACTTCACTTAACCTGGTTAGATTTTCCAACCTGGATTATTGAGCATGCATCAGGATAGCAATCTTTGACTTACAGACATGGACACATTTGTTTGTTGTTATTTGTTTTGTTTTTATTAATATTGTTAATTAAATATATTTTTATTTATATGGGGGCGGCTGTGGCTGAGCGGTTAGAGCAGTCGTCCTCCAATGAAATAGCTGGGGGTTTGAATCTACCAGCAGTCACATGCCGAAGTGTCCCTGGGCAAGACACTGAACCCCTCATTGCCTCTGATGCGTGTCCCATCAGTGTATGAATGTGATCTAAAGCACGGATTGTTCTTTGTAGAGATCTAGTATAGAGCTGTATGAATGGGTAAATGAGGACACAGATTGTAGTATAAAGCACTTTGAGTATCTTGATTAGATAGAATGGTGCAATATAAGTACAGTCCATTTACCATTCTTTGATGCTGTGATCTTTTTGTTAGCACTTTAACTGTTTTAAATGTGCTATATAAATAAATCGGACTTGACTACCTCAATGACCTCTGCCGTGTTAATGGACTTGTCTTCCCCCGTGTCCTCAGACTCTGCCTTCTCAATGGTGGACATGGTATGGTGAATGGATCAAACAGAACTTTGAAGTGCTGCTTCTACCAAATCTTCAGTCTGGGTCAGCAGTTCCCCACCCAAACCAAGCACAGCCTGGGACATGGCCCACTTTCCTTTTCAGAGTAGTTTGCCAGAACCTCCTCAAGGCCAAACAAAAGTCCTTCTCCATGGCCTACCCAAATTCTTCCCATGCCTGAGTTTTTGCGTCTGCCACCACAGAAGCACAGTCCTTCTGCAGTTCTCCTGCAGTTCTCCTGCACTCCCGTCAGCTGCTTCAGGAGTCCTCCAGGACCTTCAACTTGATGGCCTCCATCACCACTGATGTCCACCAGCAGGTCCTTTGGTTGCTGCTGCAATCGACTCCAATGACCTTCAGGCCACAGACCCTGAAAGCCACACCAGCATTAGAAGCTTTGAACGTGGCCCATTCGGATTCCACGTCCTTGAGCCCCCCCAGACATAGGAAACAGTTTTCCTGAGGAGTTAAAGGTCTACCAGACATTTCCCGCTCACCCCTCACTATGTGTTTATGTTAGTCGTCTGTCCAGCAACCTCCCCTGGCACTACATCCAACAGATGGTGATCAGTTGACAGCTTTGTCCCACTATTAACCCAGGTGTTCATGTCATAGGGCAGCAGGTCTGATGACACAGTTACAATAACAATCATGGTCTAACTAAGGTGGCCTAGTACCAAGCGCCCTTATGGACCACCCTGTACTTAAACAAGGTGTTTGTTATGGACAGCCCATGCCTAGCTCAGAAGTCCAATAACAGAACACTGTTCAGGTTCAGATCAGGGAGGCAATTCATCCCATTCACCCCCTTCCAGATAGCTCTCTCATTGCCCACATGGACACTGAAGTCCTCCCTGTAGAACAACGGAGTTCCCAGACAACACCATCCAGAGACTTCAGAAAGGTTGGATCATCTGAACTGATGTTGGATGCAGAAGCACAAACAAGTCAGAACCTTCCGTCCTGCAGCCCGAAGACACAGCGGGGCTGACATAAGGAAAATGTTGACGTTGTCCAACATTTAATCTGCTGTAAAAGTACTTTATAGGATTATAACCTGAGAGCATTATAAAAAAATTAATCCAGTGTTTATTGAAAAATTTTACCAACAGACATGAGCCATATGGTCTTTTCTTTTCATAAATGTGTTTGTACGAGTGTGGTGATGGTGGGGTCCTACAGGCTTACTGAAGACTGACGGTCACACACCAGCAGCATCAAACATGATAAATCTGTGGCAGCCATCGTCTCCGCTCCCACCGTGAGACTGCGCATGCGCCAGCAGGAAGAGCTCTTTGTTCTGTTTCCGGATGGTCTGCGTTCAATGGCCGCAGGGTCGGCCAACCTAAATATCAAGCTGCGTTTGGTTTTCTGTTTGGTTTCGGTCGGTGACCTGCCAACCGAAATTGACAGAGGGTGTTGTAGTTATCGATAGGTTTGACATTTCTAAATCGATGATTGAGCCACTTGAGTTTGAGAAGCGAAAATCTCGTTTGGAGGGAATTTTGAATGGAGTTTGGCGAGTAACCGGCAGAGTCACCTTGCTGCCGGCTGAGTCCCAAACCGCTGACAAACGGAACCAGAACCCCGTTTTCTGACTGTCGGTCCAATCTCTGAAAGCACAAATAAACAGCTCGCTCACCTCCAGAAATAAGCACAATATCACGGCTGCACCGGCTGCCGGGCTCCGCATAGCTCCGCCGGAAGGGCAGCGGAGGCTCCGCCGCTACAGGAGGAGAAACAGGAGGAGGTGCTCCTTTATCCCGACGCCTCTTTCATTCTCCAGCTGCCGGGCCGGGTCAGACCGGACACCCCCGCATCCACCGGGTCTGGCTCTCACCGACGGAAGCGACTGTGCGCGGGTTTATGTCAGACAAGTGGCGCCTCTAGAATATTTTTAGTGGGGGCTGGGCACTGAAAGTCCTGGGGTGGCACCAAAAGTTAGAACAGAATTACAGGAGATTTGTTCTGTTTTCATAATTCTGTTCATTCAACAATTTTGTAATTGTATGAATTTTAGGTGATTCTCTTATTATACCGTTAATATTATTATTGCTTCTGTTAATTTTATTTATTTCATTTACATTTTAAAATAAATATGTCACACGTTGACATAAAACAAAAATTCTGAATGAAAAGGAGTAGTTTGAAGAAAAAAAAAATCTTATATAATCTACCCCTTTTCCCAAAAGTCAATCTACAAAAGCAACTAAGTTTTAATCAACCATCCATATAGACACATGTTTGAACACAAAACAGGCAATATATCTATATA